GCAGACTGAAAAGCAGCGCGTCATGTGGGGGTAAGATGTATTAGAATAAATAAATAATGCGTGCTGAACAAGAGAGAATGTCAACTTTTTTCGCATTTATTTTATTTAGATTCTTGTTTAAGCTACTCATAGACTCTTTTCAATGATCTCATGTTGAAATTGACTATAAAACCTTATTACTTTTCGGCTTTGTATTCGTTTCATATATTTTATCCTTTTATAGATACAAAATACTTTTCTTGGATGTCCTGTTCCCGTTAAATGTACGAAAAATAATATTTGTTGATGCTGATCAAATAGTTCGGACAGATCTGATAGAACTAATGGAGTTGGATTTGGGAGGTGCTCCTTATGGTTTCACGCCATTCTGTGATAGTAGGAAATCAATGGACGGTTTTAGATTCTGGAAAAAAGGTTACTGGGCTAATCATCTTGCTGGTCGCAAATATCATATTAGGTGAGTTTTCCAAGTTTTCTTCTGCATCTTAGCGGTTTATACTTTGTTGATTATTAATAAATGAGTTAATGAAAAAAGATGCATTGTAACTTTTAGCGCACTTTACGTCATCGATTTGGTTAAATTTCGCCAAGTAGCTGCCGGTGACCGCTTACGTGGGCAATATCAGGGGTTGAGTGCCGACCCAAATAGCCTTTCAAATCTTGACCAGGTAACTTTTTCTTTCTTCTCTCTACCATAACTGATTTGCATGGCAGGTAATATTTTTATTTATCAGTTTTTGTTGTTTTCCTCGAATTTTACTGTTCCTGCAGGATTTACCAAATAATATGATTCATCAAGTGCGTATTAAATCATTACCGCAAGAATGGCTTTGGTGTGAAACGTGGTGTGACGATGCTTCGAAAGAAAAGGCAAAAACGATTGATTTGGTTTGTTGTCAATTCTTTTTGAATATGGTTTTTTTTCAAATAGTCTGCTGTAATAATAAATTTAAACATTTATAATATACATTTATTAAATTTAGCTTCTTATTATTTGCTTTCTGCTCTTTTCTGCTTATAAAAACTTTTCCATGGAAATCTTTTCGGAAATAGTTGAAGTATTAGTTATAATACTCTTTTATTCATATAATTTTCCAGCAAGATTATTTAGATTTTTAGCGAGATCTTAGGGTATGAACTTTGGACCATAAAATTCCTGGACTTTATGCTAGTTTCATTTTTAGTGCAACAATCCACAGACTAAAGAACCGAAACTTGACTCAGCAATACGAATTATTCCTGAGTGGAAAGATTACGATGCTGAAATAAAAACACTACTTCGTGAAAGATCAAAAAAGCATACGGAAGAAGAAAGGAAGTTTGAGCATGAAGTAATTGATGAACATGCTGAGCTATAAATTACTCTTTTTTTCCCCTTCTATAATGTGTAGGATTTCTCTATTTAAATTTCATGTCATCGGAATTGTTCTCCATAAATCTTCTAATATTTTACTCTGTAGAAAACTTCTCAGCTATGTAAAATAGTCTGCAAATCGTGGGTTGAAGGAACAGTATCTATGAAAATATCTGTAAAAGTCTATTGTTTTGATATTGGAGTTATATCTCGCAGAATACTTTAGTTTTACTTCAGGTAGTTCGATTTTCTCTGATGCAGTAAACGACCACTTCTTTTTGAACTGAGATTGCGAATGAAATATGAATAATTCAAATATCCTGTGAAGATCTTTTTTCCTTTTAGTCATGAAGTGGATTCTGCTTTTTTCATGTATTTATAACACGATGATTTTTTCTAAGATCTTAGAATATTTATTCCAACAACAGCCTAATATGCCTAATCAGGGCGGATTGAATAAAGTAGACATCATAAACTTTATTTAGAAAGCTAATGCTTACTCAATTGCGCAATTTATATGAGCGCTATCTATATTGAATAGCTCTCCCTTGAACTGATTATGCTAGTTTTGAGTATCAGCGATGTCTCAAGTTCTGAGAAATGTTTCCACAACGTTTTTTCTACACCCAGTGTTATATTATCAAAACTTATAGTATGAATTGGTTATATATATATGTGAATGGTACTCGTATTCTAAACATTCATTTTAGTTTTTTTTAAATTTATGGGTTAATCATTTGAGACATATCTTTTTTACAGACATATATATTCTTTCTCTTAAAATAGTCCTCGCTACGCATAGATTTTTGGATCGGTTAAGGTCTTGCAAATCCTGAAAATCAAATTTTGAACGAGCGCAAAATGTATGAGCTTTTATAGGAAGAATTCCGCTCGTAGCTGCTTGTGTTTACTAAAATTGTTAATATTTGGATATCGCTATTAATTCTTTGAAATCCAACTCCTCGATTTACTGCCTTTACTGACATGTTATTGCTATTGCTAACTATTGTTAAAACTTATCATACAACCTGTAGAGCATCTTATAATCTTTTTATAAAAGTAGGCGCTGAATAATGAAGCTATTCCATGACAAGAGATTCTGAATTTGTCATATCCAATACTGGATTTAAGCAATCTTCATGGGATGCTTTATCCTTTCGTTATTATACTTTTTCAGTTCACCGCATCATAACTGTAAGATGTTTGTTTAACTCAGTGAAAGTGATAGCGTAGTGCTCGAAATGTTGCAGTTTTGAATCGTTGTTATAATTTGTTTTGTTATTGGATTAGAGTGGATAAACTTTCGTTATTTGACCAGAATTAGAGGTTTTTGCTATGTTACTACGCTGAAATGTTTTAGAAAAGTTTTAAGGAATTCCGCTAATTTTTCAAAAATTGTTTCACTTGCTTGACAGATCACAGCCACTCAATTTTCTGCTTTCGTTTGTGGGAGCTTAGCATTACTTATATTAGGGTTAGTAGGACATTGCCTTTACCTTCTGGTTTCGCATCATTGACTAAGCGCTCTTTAAAGTTTTATTATTGCCGTGAAATGATAATTTAGTTGTCTTATGTCGACGAGAATATATCGTTTATGGCAACCCGGAAATCCGAAGATACGAGTGTTTTTGCCCGATTTCTGGATGAAAGTAGTTGATCCATATCCTATTCGATTGCCTAAACATGTTGTTAAGTTCGAAGTTGACAAGAGGTTTGTTATATTTAATAATATTTCTTTCGACTATTTAAAATGAAAAAAATTTAAATGAGTTGCTGAACTATGGTAATTCTTTATACAGGATGACGAGATATGATGTTAGAGAATATTTGGAGAAAATATACAACCTCCCAGTTCGAGAAGTTCGCACAATGGTAAATTTTCATATGGTTTGCCAACAAAGTTGATTTTCTCCCTTTCTCTAATGTCGGTTTTCTGTCCTCTTTTCTGTTTTAATGTTTTTTCCTCCCGTTTCCTCATTTTCTATCCAGCCGGTTTGTTTCATTTAAAGTTTCATTTCAATTGTCTACTGATAAGACAACGTTTCGAAATTTCTATCACTCCTTTTCACTATCTCAGGCTTTCAGGTAAAAGCTGGTCAAGTTACATATGATTTTCCCCTCGATAAAGAGAAGCGAAGAGCCTTGTGGAAGGAAGATGACAAAAAATATGCATACGTTTTTATGGTAATTTCAGGGGAGATTTTATTATTTCTTCATCGCGCAGTTAAACTGAAATCGCACACTTAAAATTTATTTAAAATCTATTTGTTTGCATTTCGGAAGAAGCTATCATATTCACTATTAGCATTCGTATTGATTTGTATAATACGATAAGTTCTATGAAAGATTCAATCATTTAATTATTTTGAGTTTTCATCCTTGTTTCTTCTGACAACTTTTTATCATTTTTTTATTATTTCCTATGTTTGTTAATTTGTTTTACTAATCTTTTGCTATTTTTTACAAAGAGTGTTGCAGAAGAAAGGATTTGAATTTCAACTTCCAAATTTGTTCGAGAAATACGAGGAGCAAGAAATGTGGGAAAAGATGAAACAAAAGATACCGGATGTAACAAATGCCGAATATATCAATCGCGATCGCCATGGCGTGGGAGAATTCTTACCTTAGCTTATTAATTATGATTTGCTTAAGTCTATTTTTGATGATGACTTTTGTGAAAGTTTCCGTAAGCTTACTGAGAAAATTTTGGAACCGTGCCGGTTTTAGCAAGATTATATGGTGAATCTGTTTTTCGCACTCCATTTGCATCATCGAAAAAAAACATTGTACGAAGTAAATGGACAATTACAATAATTCTGCTGTTTAATTATTAAAAATAACATTGCGAGGAAAGATTATGAATATCGCACTATATGTACATTGTATTGAGTAAGTAGATAATTATAATAGTCCGAAATATACGCAGAAATTGTTAATGTTTTGTTTTGATACTCCGAGTACCTCTGTATTTCGGTCTAATTCAACAAATTTAATAATACGTGTGTTTCTCTACCAAATAGTATTCTTCCTTTTTGATTAATGATATAAAAATTAATGATAATATGTGGGTTCTTAAAATCTGATAAAATCAGTGGTGTTCGATAAACCGTCCAAATAGTCCGAAATGTATACAGGAAGTGTTCATATTTTGTTTTGTTGTTCCAAATATTTCTTTAATTCTACAGATTTAATAAACCCTTAAATTTTAATGATTAATGCAATTTACTGATGGAATGAGATTCTTTAAGTGCAAAACATTTTGAAATATGGATCGAGAAATTTTGAATTAGATTGCAAAAAAAATTACCAAAATGTATTAAATTAATTTGATTTTGTAATGAACCAGCAATTCCACTTTGTGTCTCCTCCCGCATATCACACATCATGATGTTATTATTTTGATCCAATAAAAACATTTGATGCAAACTTTTTTTGATTTATGCAGTATAGGAAAACTAAACAGTTCATGAATCGTTGAAATAATTCATTATTCCGACGTGACTGTCGTCAATTGTGTTTTACGCCGTGACTATCGTCAATTTTGTTCTTCATGAATCGTTGAAATAATTTATTGTTCTTAGCATATTTCATATTCTTTCGATAGTCAAATTAACATACCGTAAAAATCTTATCAAATAAGTGCAGGATGAATGACGCAATACGATTGAATTTAATTGATGATGAAGAAACATGGTTCTATGGAGCATGTGACAGAGGTGAAAAACCAGGGGTTACAGATCAGACTGTTTTGAGTAAAGCACAGGTAACTTTTTTCCCTCAGAACTTTTCGACCAGTTCTGGTGAGATAACTAAGAGCTATTTTTTTTTTTTGAGATGTTGTAAATTATTGTTGGCAGCTTTTTTCGGTGCTTGCCTACTTACAAAATTTGTCAGTCCCGTTTCTCGATGATGTAGTGGAAAGTTAAACTTTCAAATCAATACGTGCTATGATTTTGAATTGTAATCGTGGTATTTTTCGGCGAAGCAGGAACCAAAACAAAGTCTTTTCGAGGATTCATTGGGTTGTTTTATGATTTACAAACAACAGGACGATGCATTACTAAAATGTGAGCAAGAAGGACCAATGGCAAGAGTGTTTGCATTCGAATATTCCACTCATCATCCAGGTTGATAAAAGTGAATGCACTTTTAACTGAAAACTATAAAAGTTGCTTCTGAAGTGTTGGACAGAAATGATTTCAAAGATTTTTGCAAGGTCATTTAAAATGGTTTCGTTTACATAAGTTTGAAAACGATATTTCAAAATACTAATGAAACGTCAGATTTTGTAAACCATCTAAATGCATGGCGAAACGGATTCAGCGTTTTTCTCTGATCTCTTTATGTATTATCTTTTTATTGTTCTTGTATATGGATAAATGCTTTTTTAATTCTTTGATTAAATTTTTTACAGGACGAAGACGATATCTTGTATCGGGAGTAGAACGATTCTGGAGGTGGTATAAGAGACAATGCAATGTTTCATTTTACGAACTAATACCACGAAATCGTCCTGCTCATCTCTACTTTGATCTTGAATTTTATCGAGAAACGAACCCTGGTGTTAAAGAGGAGGAATTGATTAAGGATTTTAATGACTGCGTCAGTGAAGTGTTCGCAGAAATGTTTGGTATTGATCTGAATCCAGAAAAGGTTGGCATTTTGACCTTTTTGAAGGAAAGGCAGGAGTTGAGAAATTAAGAATATCAGGTGTAGAAATTGGAAAAGGAAGGGGATAGCTGTAAACTTAGATGTATATTGGGATTTGAAAACTTCTAGCCATTTCTTTTTAATCGCTTGACATTTGTCATAATCGATTTGAATTTTACTTGAGGGTTAAATGAAAAGAATACAATAGAGTAAATAGTAGTAAGCGGTGATAATCTTACCGTGCAACAATGGTGAGTTGTTGTAATTATTATAAATCATTACTTTATAGGAAATGTTGGTACTTGATGCTTCAACGACGACTAAATTTAGTGAGCATATTATCGTTCATTTAGCGGATAACCATTTATTTCCATCAAACACTTCTATGAAATCTTTTATACAACAACTGAAGGAAAAAATGTTATCATCTGGTCGATGTTTAGTTTGGAATGCGGATGCTACCAAGATGCTGACATTGTTCGATGCAGCTGTTTATTCTGCGTGAGTTTGAATTTCTCATATGCCGTAATTATGAAGTGATGAAGGGGTATTTGGTTGTGATGAACACTCGTATGGAAGAAATCTTCACATTTGTTTGGTTTAAGTCATTGTTATAAAAAACTGGACGAAAAATAAAGATTTTCGTTTGGCCTGAAAGAAATTTATAGCTGGTCACACATTTGATTTCTGATCTTTCATAGCAGGTCATACATATGATTTCTGGTCTTTCATGATTAATGGAAGTATAGCTGTTAAACGGTCCTGCGATGGAACTGGATTAAGATAATGCTTCCAATCGATGAAATCTATAATTCAAATTTTTGATGCTTCAAAATTAGCGCCTATTGAAATATCTAGATGAGTAGTTGGTCTTGAAATCTTTTTATATTACAGCTTGGCAATCTTCTTGTGGGAGAGAATAATTGCTGCCTATCTCAGCAATGTTCTTTCCTCGTTATAATTGTGGCAGCTATTAATATACTTGCACCGAAATTTTTATTTTTGACAAAACCTTCGTTATCATTAGCATGGAAATAAGTTATTTTTGCTTACTAGCCAGTGAATTTTTACTAGTCATTATGAAATGTTACTTCTATTACTTAATTCTTAATTCTATTTTCATTTAATCAATAGAAGGTAGTATTTTCAGGAATCGTAATTTTCGTTTGTACCTATCATCAAAATTGGGAAAAAATAACCCTTTAGTACTCGCACAGCGTTGCAATTTCTATGCCCACAAGAAACGCCGTTCAAGAAAACAAATTTTCTTCGATTCATTAGTTGTACCTACCAAGTATAATATTTCCGAAATCTTTCATATCCCAATAACTGAAAATGAAAAATATCCGGCTATTCAAAGCAGAAGACAAAAAATCCTTACACTTCCTGCACAAGGTATGTTTTGAAATTTAACTAGAAGACTAGAATAGTTGTTCATTCATTGAACCGCTTAATTTCACGACTTGGACTTTGTTTTGCTTCCTTATTTGTAGTTAATTTTACAGTGTTTAACATCTGAATGCTGAGTCTTGTAAACACCAGTATCCAGGAATAATTAAATCCGACGTGATTTCTAGAGTTTTTAATTGTTTAACTTAACTCCCTAAAAGAATAAATGAGACACATTTGGCCTAGAGATGCGTTAGTACTAGTTTTTGAATCACCAATTATTATCAGTTAATTGTTAGTAGTTCAGTTCCTGCATCAACTGAAAACGTGGATTATATGATTGGCCATGGAGCAACTTCACCTTTTCCAGTATTGGACCAACATATCATCGCTATAAACAAGTACGCTTTCATTTGCTTACCAATAATTAATCCTCTTATTTTTTTCGATTAACAATATATGCTTCAGACGATGGAAGGATAATGCATCCATTCGACAGTGGAAGTTGTCAGTGGATAAATTTACAATGCCCCGACATATCATTTATTATGTATGTTAATGATTCAGAAACGTTTTTCATGTTCCATTATATAACTTCATTTATATAACAAAAGGAACTAGTGTTGCTAACCCTTTATCATCTTCATAATTATCATAATGAGAAAAAAACTGACCGGAGTCTTTTCAAGGAAATGTCCCATCACGTAATGGAAGACCTACATTTTTAGATGGCGAATTGTCGTTATTGTTTCAATATTGACAGAGAGCATCGAAGTAACGGAATATATTGGGTTGTGGATTTAGACAAATTGCACTGTTTCCAAAAATGTTTCGATATTGATTGTAATGGTGTCAGCTCGAACTATTTTCCTTTGCCAAATTTTGTCTGTACTTCCTTGTTATCCATGAAAGGTAAAAATTTTGTTCAATTTTACTTTCCTTTCTCTGTTATGGAACTACTTACAATCTTTTTATCACTCTCAGCTAAATCTGGAAGATTTCCGCTCTATTATAAACCAGGTGCTCTAATTATATTTGCTCTATGTATAGTTGATCGTTTATTGAACTCGTTTAGCTTCGCGATTTTAAGCATTATTTTCTCTTCTCATTCCGAACCGACTAATGTAGATAATTAATAATTAATTAATAATTAATAACTAATGAATTAATTAATAACTAATTAATAATTAATTATTAATAATTAATTAATAATTATTAATTAATCATTAGTTATTAGTTGATAATTAATAACTAATGTAGACTAATGAACCGACTAATGTAAATAAGTCAGGCATTTTAAGCGTATCTATATCATTCGTTCATGGAGCTTTATTGAAATTCTCATTCAAATAGAACCATCACATAGCTTTGCAAGAAATCTCTCAGCACCTATATTATATATAATGTATATATTTATATAAAATTTTGAAATTGTTGTTATTTCTTTTATTTTCTCAATTTTTTTTCAGCAACTAATTTTGTTAATCTGACGTTAGAAGCCAATAAAATTACGATACAAGTACCAAATACAGAGGTTGAAGATAAAGCATTTGGAAGAGATAGTATGTCAAAGCAGTTATTGCTCGATGTAATAAGAGAAGCGAGAGCAATGAATGAGAATAATGTTCAGAAGCGTACGTTAACAACGCTTAATGGAAGTGCTATTCTAGAAATGGGAGAACAACAAAATAGTCGGAACTTGTTTGAATTAACAGATGACGAATTGCTGAACGCTTTTTCTTCAGTCAAAAATTAATTATGTTTTCGTTGTCACTGCATAATCTTGCATCGCATTGTTGTAGTATTTATGCAGCTGTTGCAGTGATAGTTATGTGCTGCTGTTAAAATTCTCTACAATTAATTGCTGCAATGTTAGGTATATTGAATCATTCGAAGTATTGTATATGTATTAAACTGTGAAATGATTTGAATAAAACTGGTATCTTTTATGCTAAGCGTTCTAATTTTTTTATTCTTGTATATTATTATCTTCGGAAATCGTTTACTATTTGTCGTTATTGATTAAATCATTCATTTATTAGATATGAATATTTCTCTTTCTAAAACGAATTTCTTTATATCTTATATTGAATATGAATAAAGTATTCAATGAGGCTTTTTTGTGAAACGTACCTTAGAATTTTTGCTAATAAAAGATGGTTAGCCTTATTGTGATTATTTTTGTTACTGACAATCTATTTATTCATTATGGGGCATCTGCACGTTTTCACTTCTTCTTCAGAAAAATATTAATACAAATCGTTGAATAATTTTCTTTTTCATAAAAGAAATAGAATTTAAAAACGAATAATAAAAAGCACAAATGGCACAATATAAAATAAAAAGAATAAAAGATAAAAATGTTAAAAATGAAAGGAGGCAAAAGGAATCGGTGAAAAGAGTTACCTTATAGACTCTTATGTTCTAAGGTCTAGAATCTGACCATATACTATACCGGAATCATGTCTAGAATCTGACCATATACTATACCGGAATCATGTCTAGAATCTGACCATATACCATACCGGAATCATGTCTAGAATCTGACCATACTATACTGGAGTCATGTCTAGAATCTGACCATACTATACTGGAGTCATGTCTAGAATCTGACCATACTATACTGGAGTCATGTCTAGAATTTGACCATACTATACTGGAGTCATGTCTAGAATTTGACCATACTATACTGGAGTCTATTAAGTCATGCTAATGAGATATATTTAACAGGATGCGGAAACTTTCATAACTAATATTTTGGACGTTAAAAATTTTCAAACAATTTTCCAGATATCTATTTTTTCAAAATCATCAAGAAGTTTGTAGTTCTATGTTGATATTTTGGTTTTCCATCTTCATGGCAGCTCTGAGAAATTTCTGCAGAATTTGCTAAATGAAGATGTTAATGTATGTCGACATTATGTATTAGTTAAGTCCTTGAACTGTGACTGATAAAGTCGATGTCGTTAATATCTTTTCTTCACTTCATTAACAATTATCAAACACATTCTTTCTTCTCCGCTATTGATCATTACACTCTCCTTATATACCACAAAATTTCGTATTTATTACAACAAATTCTTATCCTCTTCTATTCTATATTATACATTAACCTTGAAAATTATGGAGAATTACAGCCGGATTTATCATAAAATAAAAATGAAAACTTTGATAAGTGTTAATAGGAGGATATGAATATTGTGGAAAGTTGAATATTATGAATATTGTGGAAAGTTTTCCACTTCATAGTAGTAATGATGAAATAAGCATAAGAAAAAGGATTTTGGAAATGATAAGAAATATTGATTCGTATAAAGTCGATATTTCTTATCATTTCCGAATTCTTTCATTTTTATCATTTTTTCTCTTCCGTACTGAAAACTTCTTCGTTTTCAAGTGGAAAACTTAGTAATCGATTATTAAAGATTAGGTAATTCGCAATTGCAATCTCTTCTGAGAACATATTATTTTCGTAAAATTTTTTGCCTTGATAATGTATCATTTTAAATTTTACTGTATTTACCGTTATCTCCGATAAAATTGCTATGCAAACAACTAATAGTGAAAATCAATGATAACTTTCTTTTTTGTTCTCACTATCATTACATTAATACTTCCAATTGAATTTTCAACAGCAGCTTGCTGATGATGGAAAATCGCCAATTGTTATAAAGTCCACAGGTTCCCTCATTTATAAGCAGAATAAATTACTCCATTCCCTTACACCTTTCTATGGTACCTGAGTGATTTCAGTATTTTGAATTCATCCATTGATATAATGCACTTTTATTTTCGAAAATTTAAACTATTCCATATACTTGATTTCCCGCAAAAAATTGTTCTTTTTATACAAAAATTTTTGTTCAATAGAGGTAATAGAGAACTTTAAAATTTACTTTTAGCTTTGAAAAGTGTTTGAAATTAATTCATTCAATTTTCGATCATTCTGGAATCAAGATCTGTCTTTCCGGTTGTAATAATGGCTTTTTTGTGGTCAAGAGTTTTAAAATGATGCTACTAAACATTAAGAACAAATGAATAATTTTCAATTTTAAAAGTTTACTTCTTATAAAAATTGTTGAAATCTTCTATGATAATTCGCACAAATAATTTTTCACACTTTCTTATAAAAATTGTTTAAATCGATTGTTCAAAGAAATCCAATTTTTTTATAAAAATTTTATAATATTAAAGGAGCATTGTTGAAAACGTGTTAGAAAGTTGATTTAAACAACTTTTACAAGAAAATATAAGAAAAGAAAGAAAGAAATTACTTCGAGTAAATATAATAATTTCATTACTAAATAGTAGATTAGCAATTAAATAATGAAATAATGGATTAGATGATTCATTTTTCATTTCTACCACATTTTATAAATATTCTTTATTCATTAGCAATCATCCTGAATAGAACTTGCTGCTTATATTATTACATTATGATAAAATTTTTGTTCCAATAGAGAAATCCGTCAATTTTAATCAATAATTAATTAAGAATTAGTTAGAAATTAAATGAAGCCAAGCGATAAACTAAAATTAATTTATATTATAATTGTAGAAAAGTTTTTCCGACCTATCTATGGATGATATACAATGCAAAATTTGTTAAAATTCATTCGTTTGTAATTTAGTTTTTTAATTATTTGTTCCAACCGATCTATTCATTGCTTAACAAATTCATTTCATTTCTTTTTCTCATAAATACCGCATGATATAAAATGTTGAAAATCATAAAATATCAACGAGCGCCCATATGCAATTATTCTCTTTTGTACAAGCAAAAGTTATTTTGTCTGAAAATATGACAAAATCTGATTGAATAGTGAATGCTGTAGAAATGAAAATGATTTTTCGGTGTACATCTATCTCTAAGGTCATCTGGTTCATTTGTAAGATTCAAAATATAGTATTGAGGAAAGAGGAGATAGTGGCACTATTGCAGGAAAGGGGAAAATAATAGATGAGGGTATGAATGGATAGGTTATGATGAGGTGATGTAGAAGGAGAAAATGTAAATGTGAATTTTTATGAGTTAAATGAAAAAAAAGTAAGCGAAATGGAAGAAGAAAGCAGAAAGTGAATTCTATCGGAAGTAGAAATATTTCTCAACGATGTTAGACTTATCTTAGCCTTTTTTATTGCCACTTCATCATGCGATAGTCGTACTAAATTAAAAATGGTTTGCATTGTATTAAAAAGATAATGTCCCCAACTTTAGTCTAAGAGCTCGTCGCTATAATGTTTGTATTTCGTGGCTAATTATTATATGTAATATTTTATGACTACATTTTAACTTTTAATTTTAGTAGTTGAATATCCAGCCACCCACTCAAAAGTAATGATGTCAGAATATGTGGATAAGATTATTGTGAACGATGTATTGCCTTATTGTAAGGAGGCAAAAAATGAAAAACCATGGTATGAAAAAGCTGGCATGAAAGGCACCCCACATCAATATCGCAAACTGAGGTTGTTTCTTTTCCAATAGAAAATTACGATTTAAAAGCGCTCGAGAAAAGTAACCTTTTGATCAGATTATTTATCACTACTCATTTAGAAGAAAATGAATGCATGATAAATTATTTGAAGATTGCCGGATGGCAAACCAGTGAATAGTATATTAGGCGCTATTGGTTGGACACCATTAGTGAAGCTGAACAGAATACCACAATCGATGGGAATTGAATGTAACGTATGTGAGTGCATTTTCAGATTTCTTTGGAAATTCAGACTCTGATTTAAATTTTATTTAGCTATCAGGAATTAGAAAATGATAATAATCAGTTGCCGTATACCTTATGACAAGATAAGATTCAGTCTTGTACTGCAAGCAATATTCTGGAAATATTTCCACTTGAAGATTGTTTTAAATTTTAGCGTTATATTTGCTTTATGTGATAAAGAAAAAAAGGATGTCTGTCTTATTGTTTTTTCATTTACCTGTTAATGGTTTTTCTGAGTGAAATCACTGGTACTTTATTGCAGACGGTAAAATGGAATTTTTAAATCCAGGTGGCTCTATCAAAGATAGAGTTGCAGAACGAATGATTGATATAGCGGAACGGACTAAAATTTTAAAACCGGGTATGACATTGATTGAACCGTCATCCGGAAATACCGGAATTGGTATAACAATGGTTGGAGTAGTTAAAGGTTATAAATCTGTAATTGTAATGGCCGATAAAGTAAGCACGGAAAAGGTTCCTTTTATTTTCATTTATTAATTAAAAATTGTTATTTTATTTAAATAATTTTGGATGAATAATTTTTGAATAATTTCTAATTTCATCTTCTTTACAGCTTCCTGAAAAAGTATACTTTGTATGAGATCTGAAATCACTAATTCCGTTTTTCCCTCATTTAAACCATTGTAATCATTTCATTTCTTTGCCGTTTTTCTAATTCACAGAGAATGGAATTTAATTTGAGTTTTCTCAGAATAGATATATTGTCTAACCTTTCATTACGATACTTTCTTAGTATTCTTGTAACTAACAGTTTGTGAAATTATTAGCGTTTGTTAAATTCTTGAAATAAATTAATGACATCGAAATAAAATTAACCATCCCACTTCAAATTGGTTTGCTATGATCCTTTCAAACCTCTCTGTTGAAGAATTAAAATTATAAAATATTTTAAAATATTTATATGTCAAAGATACAAATAGAAAATGAAAAAAGCTTACAAAGCATCATTTTGCTTTTACTACGAGAGTTCGTAATAATTTCTAAAGTAGTGGTATATCATTAAGAAAGGATTTTTTTCAATTTTTAATATTTTTATGATATTATGTTGATGGATTTTATTGTTTATTATGATAAATAACAATTGCAATTTGCATTTATTGTGATAAATAATAATGTTAAAATACGGAATATATAGGAGAAAATGATTCATAAATGACATATAAAACTGAAAGTTTATTTTACAAGGTAAAAACAATCTTTCATCATTTACCCTTCAGAATCCATTAATTTTTAGGAAAATGTCATAAACGAATTGGGTGGGAAAATAATCCGGACTCCAGATAATGTTCCATACGATTCACCGTTATCTTATTTTGGTGTAGCTTTTGAAATGCGGCAAAAAGATAAAGACAACTCTTTGGTACTTGATCAGGTACTTTTGGTTTTATATTCGCTACTCAGTTTTGCTTGTAAATCACTAATTGATATTAAACCACCCTGTGAGTCAATAATCACACATGCCTAAATATTTATCAATTTCAAATGAATCGATAGTTACATGTGCCGGAAAGAAAAAAATTGCAAGGAAATAATAGTCTGAGATTATCTTAACACAAAAATAAAATTATGAGTAATTTGGAATAACAGTGTTTTTCAAAAATAAAATTGAAATACCTTATGGATATTTAGTGAAAGCTTATTTAACGTTTTCTATTTCTACAGTATATCAATCCGGCAAATCCAATCGTACATTATGAGAGTACCGCTGCGGAGATATTGTATGCATTGAATAAAAAAATAGATATGATTGTAATTGGAGCAGGCACCGGTGGTACTATCAGCGGGGTTGGACGGCGTATCAAAGAGGAGTGCCCAAATGCTACGGTGCTTTTTTTGATTTAATTTTTTGTGCTATATGAATTGTTGAAATTTTCGAGAATTTTGAATACAAGAATTTCATTTCTTCATTTCTATTTCTTTGTTTGGGTTTTTTTGCAATCTTTCTTCGCTGCTTATCTTCTCTAAACTTTCCTGATTAATTCAGTTCAATTTCTATTTTAATTTCTCTATAGATAGTTGGTGTAGATCCAGAAGGTTCAGTAATTAGTAGTAATGGAGATGAACAGAAGGCAGCATTCTTTGAAGTTGAAGGTATTGGCTATCATTTTGTGCCATCTTTGCTTGATTACAATGTTATTGACAAATGGGTGAAAGTGAATGATATGGATACTTTCAAGTTTGTTTTAATAATTGCTTATATTCATTTTAATCTTTGATTTATTTTGTATTTGGTCTTATTTTTTGTTCCAATTGATTCGATTGAATTTTGATCTAATTTAACTGTTGAAAATGCAGCAATTGTCGAGGAATCATTTATTTTTCTGATTCAGAATGGCTCGTAGATTGATCCGTGAAGAAGGTTTATTAGTTGGCGGTAGTTCCGGTTCCGTTATGGCAGCAGCTATGCAAGAATGCCAGAAGCTTACGAAAGGACAAAATTGCGTCGTTATCCTTCCAGATGGAATACGAAATTATATGTTTGTTTGTATTTAAATGATATTACGGTTTTTCTCTAACAATCATATAAATATTCCAACGAATGAATATATTCTCAGTAAAACATATTTTTATAGATTTTTTCGATTTTTATACTAAATTTTAAATTTGCTTAAAGATTTTAACCTATTTTAAAAGGTAACAAAAAGTTAAAACTATCACTTTAAATTTTAAGTGCTTTTTTTCAAAGGAATATAGAACTAATTATATTTTCTATTATATCATGTTAATCAAATAATGAATTTAATCATGAATCAGTTCCTGTCTGTTCAATTATCCGAGGTGAAAATGATAATTTGGCGGTGGAATTTATAATAAAATTATTTTTAGGTCCAAGTTTTTAAACGATGAATGGATGTTGAAACGACATTTTATGGAACCAAATCTGCAAATTCCTGTTACACCTAGCGAGTAATTTCATATTCTAAAATTTTTTAATTACTAAGTAACAGTAAGCTATAGTTTTCCAGCTCCTAATATTATAAATATTCAATTTAGTTTTAATTCGATAACACTTTCTCCGTTATGATTCTAAGACGGAGTTCATCTGTTACATTACAAACAACATACAGTAAAGCCTATAGGAAAGAAAAATGTCAAATATCAGTCATCTTTGTATTATTTGGTTGAAAAATCTGTTAATTTTACTAAGTAATTTGCATTCTATGCTCACCAAGTTTAATATTTCGAGACGTTCACTGAACGAACCGTTGAATTATCGTCCGGACATGAAAATGGAATGGAAGTGGAACACGCTAGATCCGAGCAAAAACGAATGCCCTTTTCCATTTAAACCATGGCGGTATACGATTTGATTTCTTCCTGAATTATTTTAATAAGAAAATTTTTTTTCTTCTGAAGTACCACAAAGTTCAGTTAAATTTTTAGTCTTTAGTCCTTTTCATTCTCACTTATCACAAATTTTATTGTTGCTCAGACAAATGCAATTTTAAAAAGATAAGTAACTTCATTAATGTTTCTCTCCATCTCATACAGATATGATAATATTCGATTGTCACTTTCATCTATTACAGAAAAACGTAATTGAACTAACCGAGGTAGAGTTTATTCGAATATACTAAGGAATGGTGGTGAGCATCTCTCTCTCTTTCTCTTTCTTTTTGAGGAAATTTAGATAATTTTTAATTCCATATGAATGTCAAAAATTATGAGAAGCTAATATTGATTTTAGTGATGAGACAGATTACTACCAAAGCTTAGCTTCACTACCTGATAATGATACTCCAATTGGACCAGTCATTATGTTTTCAACTTAGTTCGAGGCATTTTGCTTCATATAAATGAAAAATTGATAGAGAAATTTTTAATTATTGCAAATAGAAAGATGCGAAAAAAATTGTTGAGTGATGGTAGAAAATATCTTGAGATTTATTCAAATTCAACAGGTAGAAGTCTATAAAACGATCTTTGTTTTCAGCTTATTACAAAATGAATCAATGATATTGTCAAAATAATATTCTAACATTCGTTGGAAACTGTCCTTTTATTGAGTTTTTGGAAAATAAATTAATAACGACGGAACATTTTCCTGAAAGAATGCATGAAAAAATTTTGCTTTATCGTACAAACATTTTGATAACTGATGAAAACTTTTTCCGTTTTTCAACAGTTAAACTGTAGACATTATTATTAAAAGTGGTCAATCAACATATCATTTATTACTATTTTTATCACCAATTTTAATGTCCAAATTAAGAGTTTTATTAGGTTTATAATGGAAGAATGTAAAGATTTAAATATTTCAGCATAATTTGATAGTGAAATTTGATTTGAGAAATTCATACCTTAACACTATAAATTTTGATTGGCTTGAAAGTTATTTTTACAGCATTTGTAATATTTTATGCAAGATAATATTTATCCGTATCTCTGATATCAAATAGTGCGCATTTTATTTATCATATCTTTACATGTGTATAGGCCCAAGCAACTAACAGTCAATTGATCAGAAGAGAAAATGATAAGTTTGCTTATTCTTATCAAACATGTATTGAAATGAGGAAGTATATCCCTGACTGTAAAATTTGAGTTTGAATTCTTTTTAGTGGAGCGCCGAATAGAATCAAAGGAGAAAGAGCAGAAAATGTATCATACGAAAAGCGAATGGTTATCGATAATGTTTTGGAAGCAATCGGTGAAACACCTTTAGTACGTCTAAATTATATACCAAAGATGTTTGGTGTTAAATGTCAAGTTTGTAAGTTTTATAATTACATGCATTATTAAAGAGCTAACTGATTATTTCTAATATTTGAAATTGCATCAGTGATATCGGTCGTCGTTTTATGTACGATATATATTTTAGAATTTCAGTAACAGGTTATTCAAATGTCCAACAAGGCCATTTTATAGGAAAGAGTGAAATATGCAAAAGTAGCCACAGAAGTTTAGAAATATGAAATTAAACTAAACTTCGGTAAGATTAAAATTTAATCTTGATATATATATAGTATAGGATCTGAGGACGTTATAGATGTGAAATGCGAATATACCAATCCTGGAGGATCAATAAAAGATCGCATAGCTTATCGAATGACTGAACTGGCTGAAGAAACTGGTAAGCTGAAATCAGGAATGACAATAATTGAACCTTCTTCGGGAAATACCGGAATTGGCTTAGCACTAGTTGCTGCTGTCAAGGGTTATCGTTGCATTATCGTAATGCCGGAGAAAATGAGTCGAGAAAAGGTGAGACATTTGAAAATTTCTGCGTAAAAACTACAGCACCACTTACATTACATTCTACAGCAATATCAAGAGGGAGATATCAAATACATCATCATTAACATATACATATAAAGGATGTAAAAATTCTTTTTGACCTCTCGGAATTTCTTTTTGACCTCTTCCAACTCTTTTCTATCCTTTTCGATGAGGAAAAAAATTATTGTTTTTTCATCGCTTGCTACTTTGAGATTCAAAAATCATTACCGGAATTGGCTCAGCACCACTTACATTACATTCTTGTCATAAATATTGAAAGGAAGTGCATTTTTAGACTTTAACGCCATTAATTTTGACTTCCTCTATGTACCACAAAATATTCTAAAAATCATTTTTTGTTAATATTTTATTAGAAAGTTCGCATTTGAATGATATTATGCTTTTTTATAAGCTCAGTAAAATTATATCGCGATGTTCAGGAGAACATTTTGTTGGCTTTGGGTGCTGAAGTGGTACGTACCCCAACGGAAGCATCATTTTCCGATCCAAAGTCACATATCGGCGTTGCCATTAGATTACAGAAGGAACTACCCAATGCTGTTATTCTGGATCAAGTATTTGTTACTTTTATCGAATTAGTAAATTCAAGACTTTAAAAGTATGACGAACTTGCTATATGTTGAAGAATAATTGGGACTATTCGTTGAGGTGCAGGTTCAAAAGAATATTTTAGTGAGATCGACTGATGAGACTGAGGTTAACTTAGCTCCCCGCTGTTGTAATTAAAAAATTGTATATACCTTTCGAGTAGGGCGATGCTTGGTTAGTACTTTACGCAATAAAATAAGCAATTGATCATTTTATAGGCAAAGGGAACGCCAAAATTAAAGATGACTTGATAGATAAAGATAGTGGTATAGAAAGTCATTGGTTCATTTGAAGGATGTTACTGATGGTAAACCTAGAATCACCTTAGTCATTGATAGATGAAGGTGATGGTAGAAAGGGTTAATCATTTAATCAAGTCGAGAATTCATTTTCTATTATTACATCGAGAATATTGGGAGCAATTTTATTATGCTTCTTCCTTGATTGTCTCATATAATTAACTATTATTTGTTGAATTTGGATGATTCATCGAATTTAGCTTTTCTAACTCGAAATCGTTTGATTTTACTGTCAACAAAAACATGTATGTAATGATTTTAATGAGTGCAAATTATACTTGAAATTTGCAAAAACTTTGAAATCATTTGACAGTGCAGACTTATTGTCATTTAAATTTCAAGTATTAAATTCATTCATCAAAATACTTGCATAACTCTTTTTTTCATGCTGAACTAATAAAATTTGAAGTCGAAAAATTACAATTTTGAATATGCAAAATAATTATCAACTTTGGTTTAATTATTCAATTAATTATCGTAGACTATATTCAATTGAATTATAATCAATTGGAGAGTGTTTTTCAGTATATTAACGTTGCTAATCCATTGGAACATTACGATAAAACTGCAGAGGAATTACTATATGCATTAAATGATGACTTAGATATGCTTGTAGCTGGTGCTGGAACAGGTGGTACCATAAGTGGAATTGGTCACAAATTAAAAGAAATTTGTCCAAAGTGTAAGGTTGGTCATTTTATAGCTGAAAAATTAAAATTAAACTGAATTAAAATTGGATATGTTATGATTTTCTAATATCGAAAACTATCAGTAAATTAAAAATAAAAGACTTCTGATTGCATTGCTTTCTTTTACTTCTTCAAAAGATTTTTGCCACACTTTTACTCATTCAGACTTATATAGAATGTTTAGAAGTCTTTTCAAACTTGCAAATTAATTGCAATCACTGTTGAAATTCATCGGTGAAATTTTAAATTGACACTACTTGGAGCTAAACATCCATATTTATTACTTTTTTGATTTATTTTCATCGATTTATTTTATAATCCATTAGATAATCTTATGAATAAATAAATTCCCAGCTATCTTTTCGATGAATTTCAGGAAGATGAAAGAGATTTATAATTATTATTTATAATTTAAACAATTTTCAGATTATTGCTGTTGATCCTATTGGCTCAATTCTTGCTGATCCAGAACGTAGTAAAGTTTCAAGTTATGAGGTATGCAACAATTTTCATAAGTTTAAAAAATAATTATTATCTATTCTAGTTGTCATTTCTCTTCGCTTAATATTACATTTCAATCAGATTTTTAAAAACACACTAAAATATGAGTATTCATTATAAATCATTTCTACATGCATAATTTTTAAATTTGTGTTAATTAAGAGTTTAAATGGTATGAAAAAATTTTGAAAATTAAAAGTCTTGTGAATTAAATAGCTTTGAAAAAGAATTACTATGACAAATTGTCCACAAAAATAAAAATAAGGACAATGGTAGAACATAAAATAGCAATAGAATAAGTGAATGCTTACCATCCACTCATCCAATTTCTTGACAGCTGAAATGAATGATACCAAGGAACTACGAGTAATGAGCTGTTTCGCTTTTTTTAACGAAATTTTTGCTTCACAGAAGATGCATCAATTAAAAAATAGTTACACTTTATTTTGTGAAATTTTTGCTATAAACATTCTTTTTAGGTGGAAGGAATTGGATATGATTTTATTCCCAAAGTGTTGGATCGTGATATTATTGATTGTTGGATGAAAAGCACTGATAAGGAATCATTTGAAATGTCTCGTTTATTAGCTAAACATGAAGGCTTACTATGCGGTGGCAGTTCGGGAGCTAGTGTGTTTTGTGCTATGAAAGCTGCCAAAGAGTTGGATGAAAATCAAAAATGTGTTATCATATTACCTGATGGAATCACTAATTATATGTAAGGAAATTATTTTTTTTTAACATAATTATATTTAGCTTTGATTTTTATTTTTTTATCTGTTAAATTTCTTATCAGATACTATAAGACAAACAATTATATCCTTCTATAATTAAACCAACAAATAAATACCGAAAGGAAAGGAAAAAGCTGACAACGAAGATGTCGTTATTTTCAATTTTTTGCTGTTTCCGTTTTTTTCTTGAAATTTTGACACTTTCATTTATGTTCATTTTGAAATATTTTTAAGATATTGAGCACTTTATATGAAGTAATTAGTTATGATTTCCGATTATTCCTGAAATATCCGGAATTAGTTGCATCGAATATTTTTCCCGAAATTGATTGGAGATTGTAGCGCAATAATTGTTAAAGATATCAAACGTTTTAATTCGAATTACTAAATCCTCATTGCTCCAAAACAGCATATTTATCAACTCGCTTAAGGTTTTTAGGATATACATTTTAATACCGTCCAACCTGTTGGCATCCTTATACTGCAATTATTGGTACGAATTAATTTTAGGATCAATAGTTCAATATTTTGTGGATAAAACGTCATATATTATTTTGTTGTAGAACAAAGTTTGTGAACGATGAATGGATGAAATCCCGCTTATTCTGCATTTGAACTTGACGAAAATTATGAAATTGATATTAATAAAACTTTTAGTAGAAAAACTTGTTGAATATAAAATTTTTTGTTTGCAATTTTTGTTTTTTAAAATTCTTATATCGTTACGAAACATTTCGATGTGCTTTAATTATAACACATATTTATAAATAAATTATCGTCATATAATATAGCACCGTTTGAAAATGATTCTGTTATATTTAATAAAGCTCATTTGAGAAATATCATTTAAGACTCTTAAATGGCCTTTAAAAAATAATTGATTGAAGAAGCCATAATATTTTATGTTCAATATTCTCTTTTAAAAAAAGAGGCAAAAAGCAATCGATGATTTATTTGTCGATATTTGTCAATCACATTTCAACAAATGATCGAATTTTTCACGTTAAAATAGCAGCGAATCAATATGTATGCATAAATAAGAGGTAACAGTGATAAAGCTGTTAGTGATAAAACTAATCACAAATAGTATTGAAAAGTGTCGAAGCTAAAGCGAATTAAATGACTATTTTATAACACTTGCGACCTTGCATAATTGCTCGTTTAATTTAAATTAATCATAATTATGAGAGTGTCATTTTTCTTTGTAATATCATTTTTGGAATGAACGAATAAAGAGCAATTTTTAGTACAGTAATTATTCTTTCAGTATATGAATCAATTTGATTTTTTGGGCTATAAAAAATTTACAGTAATTTTTTAAAAATGGTTAAAAAGTGGCAAGTAATCGCTAATTCAGTTTTTCTGATTTTTTCTATAATTTCTTTTCAAAATTGTGGCAAGCAATCAAGCAAGACATTTTAGATTGAAATTCTTATATCATGCTTGATATTGCTTGCGGAAAAACTTTTAGCTAATAAAAGTGCTGTACAAAATAACTATGTTAACAAACTTTAGCAAACTTATGACCAGAGCTAATATCGAGTCGGATCTGTTCTAAACTAGTTTAGTTTAGTTTACTTTGAATTGTAGACTAGTTTGGCAGCTAGAATATTCGTCCATTCTTAAAAAAAGTTTGTTTAATATATGAATCAAAAATTCTCACTATATTTTGTCGGCAATGAGAAATTAAAAAAATGCAAGTTGAAATACGATAAATTAGAATACAATAAATTATGCCCAAATGATATTCTTTAAATAAAATGCTTCTTAATTTCTCGGCTCTCTTTTAAATCAATCTGATGTAGGAATGAAAGTGATTTGACTATACGTATCACTCACTACAGCTTCAATCAGTTCTTTCTTTTTCTTAAGCTATTTGTGAAATATGTCGAAAAAAAACTGGCTGGTACTAATAAAACCTGTCTTTAATACTTAACGATTATATCATTTCGTCAAAACTTGTACATTTATAAAAAGTGACTGTTCCACTTAAAATTTTGTGTGACAGTATGGATAGGCCAGCATGATTTGCTGAAATGAAGATACATAATATGTAAATAAAAGAATTTGCAAACTTCAACTAAGCAATTTTTTTAATCGTCTTGTTTTGTCGTCGCTGATATCAACAGTTTAAGAATAGCAAAAACTGGTACAGTAAAGGAATTTATTTATCGAAATGTAAACAATACAACTAAGGAAAAAAGATTTAGATCAATATGTGCCACCGGTTCACAATATGTACCACAAATAGCAGTTTCAATTTCAGTATGCATTGACCGTTTTACTTATTTCTGTATCATTTCATTCTCGGTCCTCTTTCGATTACTATTTCAATTTCAGTTTTTGAAAAATTTTTCAAAAATCCAACATCCACATTTCCGGATTTGTTTACACATTTCGGTTTAGTGACACCGCTAAATTTTGACCCTTTAATTTACATTTGAAAACCAAATTGAGTGTATTTAAGTGAGAACTATGCCAATTTAACTTAAAACTTTTTTCTAATCTTCAAGTATAAATTTAGTTTCTTTGAAGAGCTTATAAAAAGTGTTTCGTTAGCTAAGTTTTGATTCAAATCCAAGTAAATACCCCTTGTAATGCCTATTTAATATAAAGTTCTACATTAGATTTGAGAATGAAATAATGCTCAGTTTCGAAATAGCTAATAGATCTTTCTTATTAATTAATGTTATTAAATTTTGTGTTATAATAATTTTATTGATTTATATTATTGTTTATTGATTCATATTATTGATTTATATTATTGTATAGATTTATAAACATTTGCTAATTGAAGGATTTTAAAATTTCGAAAAATTTCAATCTGAAACTCATCTAATCATTGTAGAGATAGCAATATTAAAGTTATTACAGTAATCATTTATACTGGAAATACACCTTGTCAATCTGTCTTCTCTTAGCCACAATTCATTCCAACAGGTAAATGAAAAAGTCATTTCATTATGCATCGGAATATTCAAACAAAAAATTCCTCTAATTATCTCATCCGAAATACTTCAAATTTCCGCATCTACAAAAAAATAGTAATTTTTAATGCAGTATCTTTTAATTATAAATTAATTTTTATATGAAATCAAATACTTATAGTTTGAGATCAAAATTGAAGGGACGGCCGCAAAGAGAGAAAAATGGAAATTTTAAGACTTTGAAAATTGCATAATTTTAATATCTAACGTTCTTACCAAGTAAACTGATAAGCCGAAAATATCATTATTTATAATTAAAAGATATTGCATTGTTATAACAAATTCATAGCTTATTGATTTCTAACATTTGTAAATTGAAAAGTTTCAAAATTTCGAAAAGTTTTAATCTTAAACTCATTTAATCAACACGAAGATTTAAATATGAAGAATACTTTCTTTTGTGATGACAATACTGATAATTTCAGATGTTAACATGCAAATTGAATCGCTCGTATTGTCTTTTTTCTTTCTCTTTGTTTTTAAATTTTCTTAAGCATTGCCTTTTTTTTCAGAAATTGATTAATCTAAGATAAAAAATTTCTAAGCAGACAAGAAAAAGATCAGGAATGTTGCTCTCATTTGCTATTATCTTAATATCGTGGATATCAAATTTTTTCGGTATATTTTCCATTATGTTAAGTAGCATCTTGTTTATTATGTCACTAAAAGTATAGAATTTAAATATGATAGTTGAAGTTTTCAATTGGAAGTTTCTGCAGCAAAGTAGCATAAATGATCTTGAAATCAAAGAACTTACGTAATTCGACTTAAAAGAATGAAAGACGCTTGAGAATCTGAAAGCATTGAAAAGTATAATTGATAAGAAATTCAAGAAACTTATTTAACATTTTGATTATATTCAGCTAATCCGAAAAAATGCAAAATATTGACAAATTACGAATCACAATAAAATATTTGATACAGTTGTCTCACCGCAACTTTATTTCTCTTCGTTTTTGCTATATTCTGCTGGTTTAAAAACTTAAACGAATAAATTGAAGTATGGAATGAAGTCTAATTCAGGAGCAACGGCGATGAGGATAAATCCAGGCGTAGCTTGTGATATAACACGTGATATAGGGATGATCGAAAGTCCAGATGGAAATTCCAATTTCTACATGCGTTGCATATCTATTGGGTTCAGGTCAATTTCCGTTTTTCCAACAAATTGCAAAAAATGCTAATTGTAAAAAGTTATTTTGTCATTTCAGAACAATGGGCATGTGGAAACTGGAATCTTGTTTACCTGGCTATACCTTTCAAATCAGCGAAAAACGATGTGTACCTAATCAGTTTGCATCGCATACAAATAATAAAATTTTCGGTAAGTAAGCTAATTTATAAAATTTTCAAATGTACAAATTTGCACAGCTTTTTATCGAATTAAAGTAATGCATTACGTTGAATTTTCCAAATACTTATTATCTTTCGATTTCTAGGATAATTTGTCACAATTTACCTTGTTTACACCTGTTTCATATTATTCTAAGTTTTCAGCTATTATAAAATTAACGAATAAGTGATAATTAAAATTTCGTAAATAGATAAATGAATAAAACAAATGAGGAAGTAATGATTGGAAATAAAAAGATTAAATGACATAGAAAGATTATAATTTTCCAATGTTTATAATGTCATTAAAAAAATTCAAATATGCTTTTCAAAAGAAATTTTTAAGTGCTCTACAGAAATATTTATACATTCAATAAAGATTTATTGCGCATAATTTATAATATTGAAAGTTTTAGTTTTTTTAGTTGCTACCATTGAAATCATTTATATTATCTTCCAATATATAGTTTATATTTAAAAATATAATATCACTTGATGAGTACTATTTTGCAGCAAATCATAGATTGCCAGCAAAATTGTTGCATTCTTTTTCGATGCATCAAATATTTTTTAACGATATAAAATTTATTTTTGCTTCGGAATTTCATCATAAATTTAAATCATTTGTAGCAATTCTCAACAATAGCTGCGCAAACGGTAAAGAATGTATTGGCGGAACGGTTTGCGATCCGAGCAGTACGCGATGTTTGTGCCCTCCTGACATGATACCTAACCTGAATACTTTGTCCTGTATTCCGATATCATTTTCATCTAAATCATTTCATCAGAAAGTAATTTATATATAATTTTAGAAATAAATGATTAAGTAAAATTTTTGCAATATTTTTTTCTAATTTAATTCCCTATTTCATTCTCATTCTCATTTTCATTTTAGCTCAAAAACTAGCAATTGAATAGAAATGAAAATTAAATAAATTAAAAATAAAAATTAAATATATTATCATTTTTTTGTTTAAAGCTTTCACTGATAAATCGATAGCAAATAGAATTATATATTTCAAACATTGCATTGATATTCATAGTTCCGAATAAATCAATAATTGCAAATTGTTGTACCTTAGGATTAAATCAATTAATAAAAAGTTGAGGAGAACACAGATTAGATGTAAAATTTAGTTTACAGCAAAAATAAATTATAAATTGAATGTTTATCACCTTTTCTCCGCATCTTTATAATTCTAAATTTCTCTTCCATAAATTTAATTAATGTTATTTATTCCCAAAAATTAAAGAACAAATTGTTATATCTTAGGGATCAAATAACAGTTTGGATTTCTCTCAGTCGATGAACTGAGGAAAGAGATAATCATCCAAAATTTCGTAAAATGCAAATTTGCTAATGCTTTAATCCTTTAGGACTATAATACATACTCACCAAGTGGACGTGAAATGATGATAACTACCGGAAACAATATATTACCAGATATTTTTCGCGGTAATTTAAAAAACTTGTTTTTTTCTTTGTAATTCTTTTTTAATTTTTCCATTTATTAATTTATCAAATTTTGAATATCTCTAAAATCTATAAAACAAGACGAGATTATCAATTATTTCTTGATCAGTCAATGATTGAATTAATTGCCAACCTTATTGGTGAATAGGAAATTAGAAATATCAACTGCGCTTTATAAAGCATATCGTTTCCATGCGTTTCGATTACGCTTAATGTGAAACAAGTTAAAATAGTTTTCTCCTTCAGACAATCCATAAGAGTGTAAATTTATAGTGCGAGTGCCACCGGGAAGTAGTTGTTCAAACAATGAAATGTGTGGCGGTGGTTCGTTTTGTAGCCTTCCGATGAAATTTTGCCTCTGTCCTGATGATATGCAAGATTTTGGAGGTCAATGCCGGAAACCTGAACAAGCTATAATTCCAGCAGCGGGTAATATGAAACATAAAACTTTGTTGAAAGTAATTGCTAGGAATAAGCATCATTCGATTGCTCAGCTTGTGTCTAAGAAGGTTAATTAGATTAGTCTAAGATAAAAATAAAACTGAGGAAATCTGCAAAATAATCTGAAAGATTCTTGCAGCTAATTTAGCGAAATTTATCTTGTGAGGTTCGAAAGCATGAATCATTATTGAATCGAAATAACAAATATGAATGATACGATGAATTATCAAAAATACCGATACAATCACTAATTTGTATTCTTTTTTCGGTTGAAAAATATTATGCTGCAAATATCAACTTCAAAAAAATCAAATTTCACTCTTTTAGTTTCATTTCGATCTTGAAATAAAAAAGAGAAAAATTTAAATAATTCAGTCGGTTTGGGTGATAGCTGTAGCGATGCAGTACTGCATTGTCTGAACGGCACAACATGTATCGATGGTCAGTGTAAATGTCCGATTTTTCTAATTCAGGAAGGTAATCAATGTGTGGAAAAACAATCACGATTCCGAGTTGGTAAGTTGTTTTTTTTTTCAACTAAAATGTCCCATTTTTTAGGTGCTCAAAATAACATTTATATTTTCTGAAACATGAGATGATTGAATTTTTAATACCAGATAATAATTTTTTTCACAGGTCCCGGTGAAATGTGTAACGGAAGTCATGTATGTTCTCGTGGATCGATATGTCATCCAACCATTCCAGTATGCATCTGTCCGGAAAATACTGTTCTTCAAGAAAACTCCTGCTTACCATTTGCTTCAGGTAACGAAGATTTGAGTTAACACTATTTTATTCGTATCACTCAATTTTAGCGCTGTTAAACTTCTAAATTTGTCATTAACAAATGCTGAATTGTGCTGATTGATATGATAGATATTATTTGTCTCAAAAATTTGCTACAGCACTGAAAAAGGCATATCAGATCGGAAGATGTATTTTTTAATAGAAATAAATAATAAATTATGACAATCATGCTATAAGTACTACGATCAAAGTGATGCAGAGATTTATAGCAGTATCGGAATTAAACACCGGATTTGGTGGAGTAGGACAGGTTGCTGTTGGATTTCCATGTCGTGCTAATATTGATTGTATCAAAGGCGCATTCTGCAAAATCAATAACAATTCAGGCATTTGCCAATGCCTCTCAACCTATGTTCGTATTAACGATTTCTGTGAAAAAGGTTTTAATTTCTTTCAAAACAATACTTAAATCTTTAATCCAACTTACGTGAGATGTCACGTATTAACTTTTAATGTTTATATATAGCGTTTGTTTCATTGATAATTGTTGAAGCAGTTAAAGCATGAGTACTCCAATGATACTAAAATAGGTCTGTGTTTGTTAGTATACAGCCTTCCTCATACTATTTCAGCTTTATAAATGTTACGATTTCAGCAATATATCCTGGACAAAGTGGTTGTCACTATGATATTCAGTGCTCGATCATTTATGTTGCTGCTAGATGTTCGGCTGGTCAGTGTATTTGTCCGGATGGTTTTAGTGCTGTGGGACAAACATGCAAACCAGGTTTGGGATTATCATTTATTTATTCGAACCATTACATTTTTCTTTCGCAATATATATCTAAAAGAATATTGTTTTATTTATATTTACTTATTTTATTTTATTCATACTATTTTATTAAAGTTTCCTTTTGCAATATATCTAAAGGAATTTTATTTTACTCTTATTTATTTATACAAACAACACAATAATAAACAATAGCACAGTAAACAAAAAATGCAACTTTTTAAGAGGCAAAAATTTTCAACTACACTGTTTATTTGAATTAGGAAAATAAACAAACTGAAAATTAACGAGGAAAACTTTCCGAGACGCTTTTTAATTCACCTTTATGCTTTTTAGGATAATTATATTTTATTGAAATCATTAAAAGAGACTAACACGCAATTAATGAAATATTATATTTCAGAATCTTTTCATCCATTTATTAAAAATTATTTTATATTTTACCAAGATAAGTCTAAAAAAACATATTTTTTTCTAAACTTTGGATCATCGTATGATAATTGCATGATTTTTAAAAAGATATATTAGATTTGTGAAGATTTTGTTTACTGAACACAGAGGAAGGCCCAATGTTAACTTCTGATTATTAAAAACAATGCTAAATCACCTACTTGTTATTTGTATTAAATTTGTCATTTTACAGTGTCATTTAAAATTTATAAATTTCTCCACCATCAACAACTAAACAAGATTTTTATGGATGCATCCATTTATATTCTTCATACAACAATTTCTATGAATGTCCATTCATTGCATATAATGCTTATTGAATTTAACATATTTCCTCCTGCCTGAATTTTTCAATTAATTGGTACTTCCATTCATTAATAAGTTTTGCTTGCAAAAGTGCATGACATAATATTTTGTTGTTTGAAATCAATGAAATGAGAATTTAAAATTAGATTTAGATTCAGATGAAAGAAAACACGGATGGAATCGCAGAGAGAGCAAGGTGATTCAACGATTAAGGGATTGATTAGGAGCTCTTCTTTGAATTCAAAAAGTGGGTTCTGAAATATCCTCAGACGATCTTATGCCACAGCAAGATTCACTTTTCATTATCATCGCATGAAGGAAACAAATGTTATCTGTGGGCTTATGAAGCACTTAGTGATTCCAAATCAAATGTAGGATGGTATCCGAGAATACGTTGAAAATTGCGAAATAAGTCTGGAACTTGCATTTGATCAGCTAACAGTTGACTGATCAACAACATTTTGAAATGTGAGATATTATCGGAAGAGAAGTTGTGAACTATGTCAATCAAGTTTGAGTTGGAGAAATCTATCTGAAAGATCAATTCGTTTTCACGTAACTCCATGAATTTTCTTTTTGTGCTAATAATTTCACCGATAATTTCAACAATTGTCAAATTTCGTTAACAGTGAAAAGAAGAGTCCAAATTCAAAGATGGAAAGATATCAGATATGGGAAATTTAGTTAATTTGGGATCTTCTTAATCAATTGATGTAATTTATGCTTTTATAAAAATGATTACATTTTTAGCCGAAAAAAGGTACAATTATTTTTTAATAATTCTAGTCTAAATGACTGCATCTTAGATGCATATACACCTATAATCCTGAACATATCAACTGCTAACGGTTTTTGCAAATTATTGCTAATATCTCTAAGCAATGAACAAAAACTATTCTAATTATGCTTATTATAAAAAAATTCAATGCAGAAGTTTGAATAGTCAAAATTTTGAAGGAAGATAGATATCATTAGTAATGAGCTAAGTCAAATAAACTTAATCTATTTTCTCAAAATGAATATTAAGAGAACTAATCAATCAAATCCAACAACGAAAGCAATTCAAGCGAAGTGCATATGTTCTCTTCATAATTATTGTATTTGTCTCAATGCTAATATTGCAAAGTATAAAATTGAAATGGAAGGAGACTATTAGGATAAATATTTTTTAATTATAAAAAATGGCGATTAATAGGCGGAAGCATAATTATAAAATTAATGAGTCAGGTAATGAAATTTCAAAAGCGTACTAAATTTCAATGAAATAGAAATGAAATTTCTCAGAAAATGTGCAGTTACTGGATTAGCCTTAAATTCAACATTTTTAATATATTTTTATGATAAACAATGCCTTTTTCATTTCCACAATAAATTTGCATCTTTCACTGCTGCCAATGCTTCTCATATAATCTTCTATGCATTATGTAAACTAAAATTATGCTTTTTTTCCTTATAATTCTTATTATATTATCAAATTGTGTCGATACGTATCACATACACAATTAATTTAGTGGGCAATGTTTTTCTGGAAAATATATTACTATGATGGATTGAATTTTTCTTTATACTAAGAAAATATACAAAAATAATTATTTATGGGACTATTCTAGATGAATTAGTTGGCAGCTGCGATAATAAATCTTTGTAATTTACTACCAAAGTTAGGATTCATTTCCTGTATTAGTTTGTAGGAAATCAATGAACTGTAAGCAAAAAATAACATGAAGGATAAGCTTTGAATCTAACATTTTTACTAATATCTTTCTAATATTTTATATTTCCATCGCATCTTTAGATAATAATATCAATGAAATTAAGTGATAAAACTGTTAACTTTGACAATGGGATAATGTAATACATTCCCAACACAACAGAGAAGCGCTATTGTCACCGCCATTGCCATCACTATTACTTATTGTTATCGCTATTGCCTACTGCTTTTTGCCAAAAGCGTCTGAGTCGTATCCTGGCTCATATTTTCATACTTTTGTAAGAAACTGAAGAAATTTCCAATGAAAATATAATATTCAATTTTTAATTGCTTACTTATTTTAACTTCCAGATAAGCAAACAATACAGATACCTCCTGGTGGAAGTTGCATGATTGATAGAGATTGTGCAGGTGGTTCAAGGTGCCAAGATGATTGGTGCATTTGTCCAGAAGTTTCGATGAAAGTAATCAACGGTGAATGTAAAAAGGTGACAGTGAATTGCTGAATTAGCTTCTTATTTCAAATAAGAATAATTTTGATTATGGCGGTAGGTAAACTGCGGGAAATGAAAAGTTCTCATTGGTTGTATAAGGAAGAAAAATTTTAATTGCAAATCAAAGTTGCAAGTATAATTGTAATTTTCTCAAATAAAACAGAAAGGTAATTACATCCATAGTGAGTATTTTTTGTGTGAAATATAAATGAATTATTTAACTTTGTATTGGTCGTAGTTAAATATTTTAAGAAGTGATAATTTACAGTAAATAGTTTACAGGTCTACGGAGGTTCACTCCTCACAGAAATACAGAATAATACGCCAGCAATAAATACATTAATGAGCAATATTGAAATGACAATTCCGTCGATAACTTCGTCTCCTTTAGGCATTGTACCAGCTTTGGCAAAAATATCTCCTGGTTGGTAAAGCGAATTATTCAATTAATTTTACAAAATTTTTTCATTCTCACTTATCATAAATTTTACTGGTAGCTTAAAGAAATGCTATTTTGAAAAAATAAGTAACTTCAAGTTAGTATTTTTGACTTCATGCAATTACGATAACAAGTAGTTGTCACTTGCAGTTGCTTCCATAAAGCTTAGTTTTATTTGAATATACAAGGATTAGCAGTAACTCTCTTTATCTCTTTTTCTCCTCTTCTCTCTCTCTCTCCAAGAAAATGCGGTAATCTCCGTCAATTGATCTAATCTCACTGTTAACACCAAAAGGTGCTAATTGGCAGTGAAAAATTAAATAGATTTTGTTGAAAATTAAGCATTAAAAAAAAAAAATTTTTATCGTACATATTTGTAGAGACGATTGAAACACTTGTAGTGCCTGCAACTTTCAAACTTCCTATCATCCCTTTTACCTCAACGACAGTACCACTGCAATACGTTGGAGATATATTACTTATTGATAGCTTGAATCATTGGCAAGCATTCGCATCTACTATTTCAACTATCAAAAATTCTACTCTTCTTTCTACATCAATATCGGTTCGTTTTTCAGGTCAGCCGAGAATCACTGGCCCACCATTGCGTAAATCACGTCTTCAGACAACTACCATATCAATCTACAAATCAAGACCTGGAAATGGAATATGTCCTACTCCGAATAGTGTTGTTCTTGATGAAAGTACCAATTATTTGATAGTCTGTAATGGTGAGAAACCATTATGTCCACCAAATTCCTACTGTTACATTACTGGATATGCTAATCAGGAATACAATTGTTGTTGGTCCTGAATGGATCCGAAATGTCTTCAACTTTCAAAATATTAAATTATTTTGTTTAATTTTTGACGCAATAAAATAATATTTCCATTGTCATATATTCAATATTCTTATCAATTCTGCGTACTATGATAAGAAAATGATGTGTGTTACAAACAATTTGACAAATTTTGCATGGTAGAATACTGAGAATAATGTGTGCATTACCTTTCTTCCTGCACTTTTTCCCTTTTACTTCCTTCCCGTAATCTTCTGTAGAACTTCTGTAGAAAACTTCTGCAGAAAACTTCTGTAGAACTTCTGTGGAAAACTTCTGTAGGACTTCTGTAAAAAACTTCTGTAGAACTTCTGTGGAAAACTTCTGTAGAACTTCTGTAGAAAACTTCTGTAGAACTTCTATAGAAGTTTATGGGAAGGAAATAATTGGGAGAAAGTGCAGGAAGAAAGGTAATGCACACATTATTCTCGCTACAAATGCATAATTTATGCAAGCAACTAGCAACACGGCAAGAAAAACACATCTAATCTGTTAATTACTAAATATAATTTAACTTCTCATTAAGAATAAAACTGCTCAAAATTTCAGAAAATATATGGGGATAGCTTAGGAATTTCAGATATGGAATAATTTTACTATAGAAAACAAGCAACATTTCGACAAGTAAAAGCCTACAGATGAGCACGACTCATCTCGGAGCTGTCGTGCACATCATTCGTTTTTTTGATTTCCAAATATCATTTATAATTTTATATCCTTATTATTATTATTATTATATTTCCGAAGCGTGAATGTTCTGATGAATGATAAAAGTGGGTAATTTTTACATATTAATAAGGAAAAGAAGTTAAATTTCTGAAATATTAATGGCAGATTGATTCTGTTTTTAGTTTTAATGAATAATATCTTTTTCGCTCTCTGATATAATATTAAAATTATTCCATAGGAAATACAGTTTTTGCATTAGCCAAAAGCAGTAAAAATTAGAAATTAGCAGAAATATAAACTTTTTGTATGCTCTCAGGAAGATGTCGAAGCTTGATGAAAAAGAATTTTTTGCTTCTTTGGTGAAATCCTGAAATGATGATTAAATAATAAAATAGATGAATATTATTTTAGAGGGTTTGTAACAATAAGCAATTTCAAGTGAGATGCTTTCAAAATAAAAACTCATAGGTTACGTCGTTTCAATACTATGATGAAAGCTGCCTGAAAGGATATTAAGCATTAGCTATTATTGTTTATGTGTTTGAATTAATCCAATTACGAGAAGAAAAAAAATTCACACATAAAATAGTTGAAATTTTTATTTGTCATTTTCAAACTGTCATTAAATTATTATCCCAACGAAATGTTAAGAATGAAAGAAATATGAATGAGTGGAAGAGTATGATCTGTTTTTCAGTTTATTTTCAACCTCTCATATTATTCTTTCGTAACTTTATTTTTAAATTTCATTATCTTTCAGTTAATGTTTCCCTTCGCTACTAAAACTTTGATATCATTAGTTCAAAATCAAAACTTTACAAATATATATTAAAGATCTTTCAACGTTTATTTCTTAGCTCAGTTCATTCTTGGATATTTGAGAAGTACCAATCGATAAGCTTTATGATTCAGAAAAAAGTAAGTTTCTTCAAACTTTCATCGATATCCAGAAGCAGTTAATTTGAATTCATTGTTATATATTCATATTTATTATGAATAATTTATGCTGTCACCATAATTTTAAGAAAGAAAAAAGGTGAGTAATGCTAACTATCGAGCACCTTTTAAAGATAGCGCATTGAGACAATAGCGATGTCTTCAGAAGTGATTTATTGTCAGTAAGAGTTCTGATTTCTAAGATATCTACTCTCATATTTTGATGCTTTTTTTAAGGTTAAATTTCACTAAATCGATATTGTAGTATTTATTAACGTTTCGGTGGCTGGGCGGAAACCACGCATACCGATTGTAAACCAAATTATTGTCATAACAAACTGGAACATTGATAAGGAATCGGATCAGGAAGTTACTTTATCTGAGAACAGTGTCTAGTTAATGATACTGATGGACATGCATTTATTGCTGGAAACCATTGTGGAGAATAAATCAATCGCAGAGCTAACTATTAATGACAACTGCAGTAAGTACTCCACCACTACTAATCTATTATAGACAAAGATGTGAGCAACCGGCAAATTCCGAGATATTTGGTGGATGAAGAAAACAGCGTATAATTTATAGAGGGAGAGAGTTTGAAGCCAGACCCGTGGCAGACATTTTAGCGAGTTGACAACAGTTCATGCGAAATGTAGTAGGATAAACAAAAAGAAAGAAAGAAAGACAGAGAGACAGAGAGGGTCGTGTTGCATTCAAACAGTTATGACATGGGATGCTCGGAATGCTAAAAGACCTGGATAGCACCATTTGCGCTTCTATTACAATTCGTTAGCGGCGGAATACTGTCCAGGTTTCTCTTACATTTCCTATTTCGTTAATTTAATTAGTATCTCAGAAGTCTCTTATTCCATCTTTTCCACTACGTTACAACGTTTGCACACGTTTGCACACGGCGAGGGAGCGGAGCTGTTTGTATATTATTAAATTCCTCTTTTTTGCTAAATATCTCCACTGGAAGGAACATTTAACTATTATTTCTTCTCCCTTCTCCTTCTCCATCTATGTCTCCTTGTCTCCTGAAGAAGTTTTAGTTTAGTTATGAGATACCATGCATGCTATTTTATATTTCTACTTTTACATTTGTTAAATTTCTGTCTCGGATGGTTTGCGAGAGAGGAGAAAGAGATTCTTTTAATGTTAACGTCTTGAATCGTAGAATACAGTGACAGTTTTTTCTGAAGAGAGAAGGAGGAAAAATTTAAATAGAAAGATCATGAAGACAATTGATGAGTTAAAACGATCGCTGCTTAAGACGATCATTGATTACCATCTTTGCTTTACGAAATGGTACTTTTTTATCATCAGACCATTAATACATCAACTGCAACTCACTACCATTTCTTTTTATGAATTCATGATAGATGCGGATTTTTTTCACCAACATTCCCATCACCAAAAAGTTGGATAAAAAATCTTTTCATGATTTATTATGTTTTTTCAGTCTTTAAACTAAATTCATAAGAATCTTTCGGATTCAAGAATCGATGATGTGAAGAATTTTTTACCAAATTTACTCTTCCGACAACAGTACAACCATAATCAGTTCTGCTATTATCCATCTTCATGACGGATCGATATATGAGCAACTTGATGAATCTTTATCAATTTGATCAATTTGACTGGATCCTATATTCATTTCATCATGTGGTAATTTGTCTTATTCATTGCAATTGCAAAAATCATATAAATTTGATTAAAATTCATTGCTTTTTTTTCAGTACAGCAAACTAAAAATACGGCCTTCTAACTCCAATATTGAAATTACTGCATCCGACAGCAACACAGGCGAGGAGGATCGATTATCACAGGTTAATAATGATCATTTGAAAAGTAGAAGTGAAGCCGAACTAAAAATTGTAGAGCAGATAACACGGAAGTTCTTCAGTAACTGTTGTGAGAAACTAAAAGACAAAGTTCTTTGTTTCAAAGATTTTTCAATTTTAGCAGGGAATATCGCTAAGATAATTTTGAATTGCAGTAGGATTTTCTGACGTCAGTAGCTGGAGTGAGATAATTGATAATCCAATGCCATATTTTAAATTTAGTATTTAAATTTATCATCACCATTCCTGTTAACCAGGGCAATGGCCAGGAACTTATACGCATCCTTGCTTCTTTACTTTGCAGTCCATTAGATAAGTCAGCCAATAATGATTCGAATACTGTGAATGAAGTGCTTAAAGTTTTTGCATTTAAGAATGGCATCGTTTTAATCCCTTCCCAATTGTCTTTCATTTATTTCATGATTTGATTATTTAATCCATAAACTCTATTATTGATTTCTGAATCTCATTTAATTTTTTCGATCAGTTTAACTTTTTAGATTTTGTTCTCATTCCGTTGCTAAAGAAAAATTATAGCGTTAATCTCGTTAGGCTAGTTTAATTCTTACTAAATACTTCAAATTTGATATTGGTTCATTTAATATCATTATTGTGGGGTCTAGTTACATAAATAATAACATGAAAAATATTTATGAAAAATGTTTTGTGGTTAGCTTCCACTTCCTTCAGTCGTCAAAAAAAGCAATATTTGGATGTGTTTGATGGAACCGAGAACGTGAACCAGAACATTATTCTTTAACGAAAGTATCACGTGTGAGTTTCTCATGGATTTAGTTTAATCATGTCTAGGGAACTTTGTTCTGTTCTCTACCAGATATCTATATTTAGCATTTCTAATTGACAAGAATTCTAGGAAGCTTTTGGGAATGAGATTTAGATTAGAAAGCTGAATCAAGTTCCTGTATATTACTGTATTTTTTGGTCTGCTATTGAAGTCAGCATTCAAATTAACATTACCTTGTAAGCTTTTAATATATAGTTGTTTGTTAAAATTAATTTAGATATAAACTTAGGTAACCAAATGTTTTGTGTTGGAAACTTCAAGAATCTCCATTTAAGTTTAGAGATTGCTAAATGATGTGCAATCTTGTTAGCACAACAACAAGATTGTTGTATTCGGGAGAAAAAGGCAAATGAAAGACAGAAGAGAATAAAAAAGGAAAAAAGTGATGAGATCGTTTCGCTTTGCTTTTCACCGGTAGATTTCTTTCTGAATTTTTGTAACTGTATTGCTTAGAGTGACGACATAGAAATTAAGAATGCACTTTTCTTATTAGCACAATCATCCTACATATAGCAGGCAATCCGATTCTAATCAGATTTATGCCTATTATGCATATTTTGCGATGCAAAATATAATGAACTGATCCATTATATTTTGTATTGCAAAATATCATTGTTTAAATTGCTAGTTAAAAGATTTCTTCTGGTTTGGTGTCATTGTAAATGCCTGACATGGAGGCATTTGCAATGCCTCCATGTTATCAAAATCGTTACAGTGTTTG